CTTCAGCTTATAGTTGCAAAATATGTAAAACGAATTTATTAGGGCTTATTTTCAATTCTCTATATTATTTCTATGATTAATTGTGTTTACCACGCTTCAAAATTGACTTTTTCCCCTCATATACCCTTTGATTCCTCTATGATTAAATCTACTCAATTTAGTTGAATGTATTTTAGACTTGGATTAGTTCAGTTAGATTTTTTTTTGAACATACGCGCGATTGCTTACATTATGTATACATATAGTGTGTCAAGTGTATCCTGTCTCTATAGCTCTTCCTCGTTTTACCGTCTATTTTAAACCGATAGAACGTCTTCCAAATCACCAAAATTAATGGATTTTTTAGTCCTATTCAGATAGAAGTTGTAGCAGACGTTCATGAACAACATACACAAGAGCAGTCAAAAAAACATGCTACAATGCGAAAAGTATTAAGTAATGCTGAACGCCAAAAACGCTTTCGTGCTAAAAAAGGAGCATTAAATAGTAGATCAACTCAAAGTAGCTATCATCAACCACGAACTAGTTAGTGCTGAACGTCAAAGACTATACAAAGCAAATAAAAAATTACGACTAAAAAATACATAAACTCAAGAAGAAGAGTTTACACAAACCCAAGAAGAGCAATACCTATGTACAACATCTCGTTAAAGAATGTTAAATGTTGCAAATAAAAGATATTTTACATTCAAAAGGAAATTAAATTAAATTGTACCTATTCCTGATCGATTTATAAATTATTAGACTAACACGAATATTAAAATTATAAAATAAAATAATTATTGCCATCACGCGTTAAACAAGTTCAATATTTTATGGTTTCTATTAATTTTCGAAGTTATCACTTCTGTCGAGCGTCCCGTGACGCAATCCCATTTTTTTTTAATTTTGAATCACACGTGATATTTAAGTCGTTGACTAGAAATATCAAATTGAAATTTGCCTGTTGGTTGACAAATTCCATTTCAAAACCGCAGCATTATTTTGGTGCAAATAGGCCAGTCCCCATTGTTGCGATTCCAGCGTTCCCATGCCAACCACTGTATTGTAGCATCGATGAGCATCGGCATAGGTGGGAAAAACTTGCCCGCACCATAATCAAACAAACTTGGGCGTTAGCATTTCGTCATTTCATCTGTGAAAGTCACTTTTCGCTGATTTTGTYGAAGAAAAATTWAATAAATGTRCGACTTGSTAACAGGTAAGGTAAAACCCACGGTCCAAAGTTTTCTGCCAGCCAAGACAAAGATAGTCCCAACATCTGCCAAACGGTATTTCCATAATGTTTAGCTGTCGATTTSCCGATATTCCCTTCGGTTCGCTTTAAGGAAAATAACACCAGACAAGACCCAGGCAAAAGCAGCGAAAGCGGAATATTTTAATATTTCAACAGATTTGCATCGTCAAGGCAAAATTGACGTTTAGTGCGACGTGACGCTTTCCGGAGATTAGAATTCGCTTTATTTTTCTACGGGCGGTGATATAAACTTTGCAACTTTCATTTTATGGCATAGCAGCTGTCGCTGTTTTCTCCTTCTAGTCGCATTTCGCATGTTTACATGTCATCAGTTCACTGCGRAATGACACCGAGCTCTATAAGCAAACGCTCCCTAGTTGGTTTGTTGAGGGATATTTGCCAAGCGGTTCGGGCCAGSACGAAAATTACTAGTCTCACCTTGCAGTATCTGACAAGATARTATTCGATCGGTTCCCCATTATCTGCCGGCACGTTCCATCGTAGCTCGAAATGATTCGAATAAGGTCCAGCCAGTTCCTGCTTGTAGGTCAAGTTRACGGGCAATAAAACAGTTGGTTCTGCCGGAACTGAGCGGCGGGGCATTGTGGTTGAGGGCGCATTCGACCAGGGCCCCAAACCCACGTCGTTTCGGGCAGCGAACCGGAAATGATACGTCACCTCCGGGAATAGGTTCTCCACTATGTAGGGAGCACCTGGAATAGAGCAGAGTGATTTTTTTCATTTTTTTTTGCTTCTTCAAGCTGCAGCAAGTGATTACGAGCTACTCTACTGACTACTCTAATCGAAACCAACTTTATGCTTCTACGATTTGACAGCTGTCAAGTGATATTTGGGGAAAACTTATTTATGGCAAATTCTTCAATTACTCCTAGTTTCGTTTATACGAATTTGTCAGGAAAACATTAAATAGCAAACTTGTAGGAAACTGAATTTCAAACCAAATGGCATAAGACATTTTTATTCCAAAATAACTGTGATCTTTGACATATGACACAAATTTGAGTTTTTTTTTAATGCCAACCGTACTTGATTATTGCCTTACCGAATAGAGCATTTTATTACGATTTCTGTGATATATCACATCGTTAGGTTTTTGTCGAAAATAAAGTGTCTGCGAACAATTTATACTTTTTCAATTTAGTTGATCGAAGTTGGCCATGGAAAACAGTGTGCCATACAGCATTGTTTCCATAGTAACAAATAATAACAACATCTTTCAAGTTTTGACATTGAAGTTTAAATTCAACTTCTAACTAATCTAAGTCAGTTTTATTGTAAAAATGAATTATTTCAATGAAGAAAACATTGACATCAATGAAACCTACATTTGATGTGTTAAAAATGTTGGACGAGCCCCTGATGACTGGATCTTGAGAGGTATTTGACCGTCGTCAACCGTCTTTGAAAAAAATGAAGTAAAAAATTTGAAGAAGAAGAAGAAGAAAATTTCAATAAAGTTTTTCCCAAATATCTCCTGACAGCTGCCAAATTTCGGAAAAAAAATGGTTTTGAGTAGAGCATTCAAAACTACAATTCTTTGTCCATTTAACCTTTTTCGTAACTGCTATAGTTTCAAAGATCCCTGTACTGGTCATCGAAAAAAATCTTCAATAGTTCAACAAGTTTTCAATTGTCTGACTGTCTAATTTTCAAATTTTTGCTTACTATACAGGGTGTCCCACCGGGGACCGCCGAGATTGATATCTGGCAAACTATAATTCTCAGAAATTTGGCAATTGGGCAGTGTGCCGAGGTCAGTGGGGGCACGCCCCCTAAAATATTTTCAAGATTTCCACATTTCCGGTTATACCGGAAGTGCGTATCAACTTGCTTATAAATATCCTATAATATCATATACCTAAGTCTAACCGTTTTTGAGATATTTGAAATTTTATGTAAAAAATGACAGTTGCAGCAACTCGAATAATTATTCATGTTTCCTATAAGGGAATTTGTCATACTTAATTTAAGTCGCTTTTATTGTTGAAAAGGACTTACTTTAATGGAATCTTGAAAACATTTTGAAAACTATTGATGCAAAGTGTTAAAAAAATAGGTTTCAAAACACAGTTGAAAAAACCGCCCAAAATCATTTTTTCCCAAGATAATTTTATCATATTCAGTATTAAAAATAAGGGTAAGTTTGTGAAACGATGTCTATTCCAAAAGTGTTTAGTTTTCGAAATATTGCCAATTTAATGTTTTCAAATGGCTATTTTGCAGCACCTTCCTTTAAATCCTGTCAGTCTTAGTTGCCATGACGAAAGAGGCCATTTTTATTCAATAAACTGCCAAAAAATGCCAAAGGACTGCTGACAGCTGTCAGTTACTTTTTGAAAATAATTAATTATTATGCCCGGGCGGTTAAATTATACAAACGAAGATTATTTAAACTTATTAGTTATATCAAGTTATATCAAGAACCGTTTATGTATCATTACTTATTATTATATCAATCACTGGTATTAAGACTTATTCAAAATTCTTGAAATTTTCTATAATTTCTTTAACAGCACAGCATGAAGGCTTCTGTTTTTGTGGATATCGAATGGCAAATGTGTCACATGCTCTTCATACATGTTTATCACATTCTCCATAAATAATAAATACGTTTACATAACCTCCGTTTGTATAATTCAAGTGCCCTGGCATGATTATTAATTGCATAAACTCTCCTGACTGTGTTTCAATTCCAAATCATATTTTAATTTTAATCGTA